CCCCAAAAACTACTAACCCCCCAGGGTGGCCTCCACAGTGGGAGGGATCAGCCCCACCAACAACTACTAACCCCCCCCAGGTGGCCTCCACAGTGAGAGGGATCAGCCCCACCAACAACTACTAACCCCCCCAGGGTGGCCTCCACAGTGGGGGGGATCAGAGCCACCTTTGATTCCTCGTCGGTACTCCACATTCTCACACAATCATCTTTACACAAAATACTCCACAACATTATTTAGTTTCATTTTTTCTGACTCTAATAATTCTAAAGCTTTTATTTCTGGTGCTTCTAATAGGTGTTAGAGTGGTTAGAGTCCCAGGTTCAGGCCAGCGACATGAAGCGGGATCTGCGGCTAACGTCAATCATTACCTGTTGATTAGATTTCATTTACACCTCAAACCTTCATCTGATCAGGATTCCTCTGACAGACCAGTCTGGCTGCTGGGCTAGCTAAGCTAACTGGGCGCTAGTAGCTGTGGGAATCAAACCGGCTCAGGGATTTCCTGCTGCCTATATTCGTCTGTAGAGACTGAAAGTTCAGATCGGCCATTTATGAGGACTGTGGTGAAAACAGTGATGGCTGGAATCTAAAATGTGGCGGAAAGGTGAAGTTATTGTAGCTATTCAATCTAAACTATTTAGAGAAAAACATTCGGAGTAATGATCTGATGGAGCTTTAGAAACTAGAAAACATTCATTCTCAGACTGAATTTTCATGTCCAATGAAGTTAGTGTGAGTTTACCCGTCTATATCCATATATGAACACACATGTATTTATTTATCCTAATCTATGCTGGCAGGGCAGCAGAGATCACAAGTTGGACTCTGTTGGTTTGTGGGGATCATCTTATCCACTGTCTACAGATTCTACTGGATATAGATCTACGTTTATTAGGACATCCACTTTAATAAGGACCATTTTCTGTCTGTTGCTGTAGACATCTGAGCTCTACCTGGTGGCACAACAGGAAGGAGGAAAAAGCAGACAGACGGTTTTCATGCTGTCGTTCCCCTCTGACCTGATTTAAAGGAAGCTCCTGCAGCAAGTGGATCAGTCTGGATATGAAAGCTGCTGAAAGGCGAACCCTCCTGGTGAATTCATGGATGAAGAGCAGCAGAGACCGCTGCTCCATGAGCCTCCACAGGGCCGGATACTGCTCCTACAGGACAGAGGACAGATAGACCACATTAAGACTGGCAGGACAGAAAGACAACCTTCAGATGGGCAGGACAGAAAGACAACCTTAAGACGGAGAGAACAGGACAGGATGGGAAGACCACCTTAACACGGGCAGGAAAGGACAGGACAGAATGACCACCCTAAGATGGACAGGACAGGAAGACCAGAATCCGAATCAGAAATACTTTAATGATCCCAGGGGAAAATTGTCTTTGTTACACGCTCCAGGTATACAAACAACATATCCATAGATGCACTTTCCAGTTCACCAGATCATCCAGTCAGAATTATTCAAAGTTTTCTATTAAAGGAAAACCAGTTGATTGCATCAACTCATTGACTCTTCAGCAATCCCTCACACTAAGCATGCTTGTAGTGACAGTGGAGAGGAAAAACTCCCTTTGAACAGGAAGAAACCTCCAGCAGAACTGGTCTCAGTGTGAGCTGCCATCTGCTGAGGCCGACTGGGGTTCAAGGAGACAGAAGCCGACATAGAAAAAGAAGCATAGATACAAAAGGCAACTGTCAAACAGCTCCACAGGCGGCCCC